GGCAATAAAGGCACGAAGTGACTGGCTTACAAGGTTTCAAGAAGGAGTTTAGTTTAAGAGTGTGGGGGGAAAGAAAGAGTCCCCACTGAATAGCTGTCATCTTGTCTTTCACTAGATGGGTCACTAGCTTTCACTAGATGGGTCTGGTGAAAGGAGATGGGGATAAGATTCGTAAGATTCAATAGTGAATAACTGTTACCATGACTAATTGTGACTGTCACACTTGTAAAGGTAGAAGTTTTGTGACAAAAAAAGGGGAGTGGTTGATCTTACAGTCCAAAAAACGGAGGACCCTAGGACCATCAAGAGAGGAATGCACAAATAGGTGCGGGACCTTATCCAGAGATGCAGCAGTGCCAGAGATGGAGGCAGAGATGGGGGCATGGAGAGGCGGAGCAGCTGAGGACTCTAGTTTCAACAACTAAGAAGAGAAGGACTAAGAAGTGGTGGCCAGGAGCAGACTTGCAGAATGTGCCCTTTGGAGATGTAAATTATTATATATGCCTAAGTGGGTTTTTTTGTTTGCGTGTTTTTTAAAAAGCTAAAGTGGATAGAGAGAAATACTTTTAACTGATGATATATGGGGGGATTATAATCAATGTAATGAAACAAGTTATATGAATTGTTTAATGTGAAACTGATGATATGCCCTGTAAACTCAATCCACAACAAAAACCTTAAATTAAATAAATAAATAAATAAATTGTATCGTTACTGGCGTTTAAACACATTCAAAATCCAAACATTAATTGTTCTGAATGATCTCTTTCTTAATGTAGTTAAAGTAGAATTTGAATCATTCATTACATTAGACATAAAAAGGTGTACTAGCGGGATCCTTGCCAAGGGAAGAAAGCAGGTTGGGTACTATGTTTCAGTTAGTGTACAAATGTCAGAAATTAGAGAAAGTAAATCATATAGGTTACAACTAGTACTTCTGGAGTAATCCCTTTCTCCAACCACCTCTAACCAAATAACAAATTGTACTAAAATTCATTATATATTGTAAGATTGTAATGCAAATTATTTGCGGCCATATTGTTACAAAAATCCCAAGAGACAGTAATTCCAATTTCAAGATTCCATGAGTGCATCCTTTTATGTCTAAGGATTATTCAATAAATGATTCAAATTCGGTTTTAATTACTTCAAAAAAGAGAGAGAGTTGTGATGACTCAATACAATTAGTATCTGGGTTTTTAATGTGCTCCAATCCAGTAAGTCTGCCATATCTTTAGGTTGATATATTTGCGTTTCATGCTACATTTTATGAAACCTGATCAATTGCTTTAAAAAGCAGGACTTTAAATTGGTTCATTCTGGTTTAGCTCCTTGTTGATCATTTGCATTTCTACCTAGCTAGACTGAATCATAATTAACATTTTAACAAGACCTCCAAGTGAATTTTACAGATCCCCAAGTAGTTCTTATATATACATATTAGAATCATCTTGGGATCTTGTTAAAATGTAGATTCTGATTCAGTATACTTGGGGTGGGAATGCACATTCTTAGTAGGGTTCAAAGCCCTGTTTAAAAGTGGTGAAGGAACAGAGAAGAACCACTATGCAGGAGGTATATGAATGAAGTCTGATGAATGTGGTAAAACCGAAAGAGATATCTCTGCCCTGTCCCACAAGAATAAAGGATACCAAACATGCCATCTTCAAATTCAAGAGCTGCCCGCTTGATGATACGTTCCCTCATGTTATCTCCAGCTTTACTAGATTTGGATTTTCCACCTTCTTCTTTCCGGATTGACAGGCGCTTTAAAATAAACAGAAATAAATTCATGGTTGAAAGTAAGTCATGTGTTTTATCACTACTGAAATACAAATATTAACAGACAAAAATTTAACTCTGTCCTACCACTACAGTGATTCAAATCTGCAATATAATAGAGAGTTCAAAATAAGAATTTCGGTGACATCTGGTGACAGAACCCATTCTTTAGGAAGTAAATGAAATAGGTAAGATTTGTTTGAAGAAGATAGACCGGTCTGTCTCTGATGCAAACAGTGTCAATACTCTCAAACGGACTGTTACTGCAGTTACTCTTCAGACTCCTGAAACTGTATTATCCACAGGAGTTCAGGGATTGAGCCAGAACAAAGAAGGATAAGACCTTGAGAATCTGTTTTTGTAGGGCTGTCAGGATACGTTCACCAGATGTTGTGGCTGCCGATTGCCTATTTCCACCTGCAGAGTCTAGACTGGTTTTGCTACAAGATCAGAATAGGAATCAATCACAGAAATACCCAGAAATAGGCAAAAAATGATTTCTTATAAAATCACTCTGACATAGACTTTGGTTCTAATTTTTCAAATGTTCCTTTCTTTCTCCACAGCCCCCTGACACAAGTTTGGAAATGTAGAATGTGTTTCTGTTTGATGCACACAGGTGATAGGTGTGTCTGGTTCCCTAATTCCGAAGCTCCTTGTTATACAGTCTAGTCTATCACTAATCACTAGGCACTTTTATACCTTGATACCAATTCTGGCCAGACTAGCCACTCTCTGGGCTTCCCGTGTCCTTGGATTGCTTCCAGTGCTCTTAGTATCACTCCCTGCCATGGTCTCATATCCACCAGCTGCCTGAAGCTGTTGGAAAATTATGTTCTTCCTGCTCTATATGAAAATGCAAAGTAGCTTCAATATATAGAGACATAATCAAGATAGCTAGCTAGGCCTATAAAACATTAGCAGTCCAGCAGCACTAAAATTACCAAAGACTTTATCATCTTGCTCTAAAACCAGCTAAAACCCTGCATGAGTTAGGACAATTACAGAAGTCTCTAAGGAACAGTCTAGGGAGCCACATGATTTTGAGATGTATGCCATGGGAACACAAGCCATTTCCAGGTTGAACACTAACATGGACATGGTACCTGATGTGAGAATCACGTTCCCTCATGGAAGGATGGTTACCAATTGGAGAAGCTCCCACTAAGATCCATAGCAAAACTCATGGCTCAGCTCCAACTCAATTCTGTATCATCTGGAATGTCCTCAGGAACACAGAGCTTGGACATTGTGGAGACATAAGTGCTGTCACACCCATATATACACTAGCAAGTAAGCAAAGTCAATTACCTCAATTCTTTTCTCATATGCGTCTCCTTTTATGAGGCGATGTACATAAATCTTAGGAATATGAATGTCTTCTGGGGCAAACGATCCAATATCCACAATTTCTTCAACCTAGACAAAGTGAAATTAAAAACAAAACCAGGTAATGAAAAACTAAACTAAGCTTTTTTATTTTTTAGAAATAAGCATCTTGACCTTGAACTTACATTAACTGTGTGTGTGTGTGTTTATGTTGTTGTTAATTGCTGTCAAGTCAGTTCCAACTCAGAGTGACCCTATATAGGGTATCCAAGGAGCAGCTAGTGGGCCTGAAACAGCCTTGTGGCTAGCAGTCCAATACTTATCCTACAGCACCACACTAAGAATCCATGTGCATACATATGTGTTATCATTAATAACACACACAAATAAAATTTTCTTTAAAATAATTCAAAAACTGGTTGCAGCAGTACATCAATAGGGAACTACCAGAAATGGAAGCTCAATTCAAGAAGAGGACATGGAAAGAAGGATGTTATTGCTGACATGAGATGGATCTTGGATAAAAGCAGAGAATGCCAGAAAAATGTTTACCTGTGGGGTTTTTTTGACTATGCAAAGGCATTTATATCATAACAAATTATGGAAAGAATGGGAATTCCAGAACACTTAATGTGCTCATGAAGATCCTGTCCATAGACCAAATAACATTTGTTTGAACACAATAATGAGATAGTTGTTGTTGTTGATAAGTGCCGTCGAGTCGGTTCTGACCCATAGCAACCCTGTATAGGGTTTCTGAAGAGCGGCTGGTGAGCTTGAACTGCTAACCTTGCTGATCAAACTGACTTTGCAATCTAGCACATTAACCAATAGCACCACACTAATAAGGACTCCAAATAAGGAGATACTGAATGGCTTAATATCATAAAAGGAGTGCATCCGGGTTGTTTCCTTTCACCATACTTATTCCAAGAAACTGAACTTTGTGAAGAAGAATGTGACATTGGGATCGGAGGAAGATACATAAAATCACCTATGATATGCACATGACACAAGCCTGCTTGCTGAAAGGGAAGAACATTTAAAGCATTCATTGATCAAGATCTAAGACTTCATACTTCTGCATAGATTACACCTGAAAGTGAAGAAACTAAAAATCTTCATAACTGGATGTTTAAGCAGCACCATGATAAATGGAAAAAATATTGAAGTTAGCTATGATTTCACTTTACTTGGATCCACAATCAATGTCTATGGAATCAGCAATCAAGAAATCAAATAACATATTATGTTAGGCAGATTTTTAGCAAAAGACCTCTTTAAAGTGTTAAAAAGCAAAGCTGTCACTTTGAGGACTAAGGTACACCCAAGCCATGGCATTTTCAATCACCTCGTATGTATGTAAAAACTGGGAAATAAATAAAGAAGACCAAAGAATAATTGACGCCCTTGAATTACGGTGCTGGTATAGAATATTAATTATTTCACAAACTGCCAAAATGAACAAATCTGTCTTGGAAGAAATCAAGCCAGAAAGCTCCTTAAAAGCAAGGATGGTGAGACTTTGTCTAATGTTATCAGAAGGCACCAGTCCCTGGAGAAGGGCATCATGCTTGGTAAGGTTTTTGTTGTTGTCAAGTGCCATCGAGTCAATTCCAACCCATAGTGGCCCTGCATAGGGTTTCCAAGGAGCAAATGGTGAGCTTGAACTGCCGACCTTGAGATTCAAATGACTTTGCAGTCCGGTGCATTAATCCACAGCACCATACCAGGACTCCTTGGTAAGGTAGAGGGTTAGGAAAAAACAGAAAGACCACTCTCAGCTAGATGAATTGGTAAAATGTCACCATGTGCTTACACATGGTGACAATTGTGTGGATGATGTAGGACCGGGCAATGTCTCATTCCATTGTACATAGGGTCTCTTTGAGTTTGTATCGACTTGATGGAACCTAACATAACATGTTGTAATGTGCCATTGAGTTGGCTCCAACCTATAGTGACCCTGTATAGGGTTTCCAAAGAGCAGCTGGTGAGCTTGAACTGCCAACCTTGCAGTTCAAACCAACTTTGCAGTCCAGTATGTTAAACCACAATGGAGTATGTACATATACTTATATACACACATATGTGTGTATGTATGTTGTTACTGTTGTAAGTGCCGTCAAGTCAGTTCTGACTCATAGTGACCCTGTATAGGTTTTCAAGGAACAAACTGGTGAGTTTGAACCACCAACCTTGTAGTTCAAACTGACTTTGTGGTCCAGTGCTTTATCCCAGATGTATGTTGTTAAGTGTTGTTGAGTTGGTTCCCACTCACAACGACCCTGTATAGGGCTTCCGAGAAGTGGCTGGTGAGTTTGAATCACTGAACTTGTGGTTCAAACTGACCTTGCGGTCCAGTGCTCATCCTCCAGCTCCACATCAGGACTCCCTCTTTATCTCTCTCTCTCTCTCTCTCTCTCTCTCTCTCTCTCTCTCTCTCGCTCTCTCTCTCTCGCTCTATATATATATAGAGAGAGCGAGAGAGAGAGAGAGAGAGATAAAGAGAGATATACCAGA